TAGTTTTGCTTTCACTTTAAATCTAATACACCCAATCTATGATTCTTAAAAATGCAACTATATAATTTTTAATTTGAACTAAGTCTTGGTAATATTAATAAAGAGAATTTTTATTACCCCGTTCACAAATAAACTGCAATAAAAATAGTTAGGCTACTAGTTTTATCTTTTTTTGCCGGGATTGTCGCCACCCTGAAAATGCATGTTTGACTCTCCCGTCTCGAAGAGATTAAAAAGAAGCAAGGCATAAATAGGTTAATGCAATCGTTGTTCTTCATTTTTACATAAAAACAATAACGAAGTAAATAAAACATAATTAAATGAACAGTAGCACGAAATGGTAAGCTGTTTTAAATGAAAGATTTTGCTACGCATACTGATTTTGACGTAATAAAAATAATCCTATTATCTAATTTAGGTCCTATAATTTCAGCCTTATTTTTTCATTTTATGACTGTCCAGTGGTATAAATATTCCATACAACTAGAAAAGGAAATAAACATTTAAATAATTTTCGAAAATATACATTTATTTTTAGAAATTTTGGCAATGGTTAGAGTAATAAACAAGAACCTAACTGTAGCTTTTATCATAAAAGCTTCTAATTCGAATTATCCCAGAAATATAAGGTGGGTTACTATGTATGAAATAAAAAGGATTGAAAAGGTACAGTATATTGATATGAGAAAAATTGCTTATTATCATCAGACGTTATTTTTTGTTCGGCACGGAATTCCGTTCCATGCCACGATCTGAAACTTTTAATTTAGAATTTTGCGTGTTTCCCTTGCGTAGCTGGTACTAAAAGCGACAATAAAGAAATTGTTTTTACACACCAAAAATATTTATTTTTCTTTGTCGCTCCATCAAGCATAGCTTTGTTCGCAAATAAAAATAGCACCCAAAATTAGTTGATGCATTATAAACTAGCACGGTGCTTGAACGTGTATTCCATTTTCAATCGTTAATTTTGCAACGGCACGATCTTCAAATTACGTCACAAAATGAGCGTGTGCTTTATTTAGTGAATGCATAATAATAATTTCGAAATATACCCGGGCAATCTCGTTTGAATCAAGCAGTTTTGGTTCGCGTGCTATTCTTTGAATAGATTAATTGCTCTTTTATTTACCCGCTTTTTCTACTCGTGTTTTGTTCTAAAAATAACTAACTAATTAATTCTCAGTAAAATCCCTGGATTGATTTGACAAAAATGTTTTGGATTCGATTTCTAACTAGTACCGAGTTATTCTCTGTTTAAGTTGCTTTGTTTTTTTATGAATAGAAAGAATTTTCGAATTATATCTTCTGACTAGACAAAATTCGGCGTGTAAAAATATTGCACTAGAAATTATATGTAACATAAAAACATTTTGCAACAGTTGGAGCATTAGCTGTTTTCGAGTTTAATTTTAAAAAAATAATATAGTACAATGTATAAATTCTATATAATTTATAAATATTATACGATATATAATGAGATATTCTGTAAAATTTTCCGGTCCATATTACGGTAAAAGTACAGGCACGCAGTTTGCCGTTACTTTTTACCGTAAAATCCATTTTTTGGAACATGGAACACAAAATCTGATATACTGTAATTTTCACAGTAGTAATTAACTCAAAATCACTGAATCACTTGAATTAAGTAAATATTACTGTAAAATTACGGTATATTTTATTACGGGAAAAATGAATTTGTGGTGAAATGGATTTAAGGGTAAATTGGAATTTACGGATGTAATTTGATCCGGAATTTCTTACAGTGCAAGCAAAAATTTGCATTACAGTATTCTGCTTTAAAGTTTAGCCCAGATCAATCAGTAAGGGAATAACAGTTTTAATGATTGCCTCTTATTAGTTTAATTATGATCAATCAACCCTATAATAAACTTATAAGACGAAAATAAATTTCATAAAGGTACTGCATTATATCGTGAATGTTGGTAAATATCACTCACATTTAACTGATGCTACTGAGAAAATATACTTATTAAAGTTATGATTTTTATTATTTAAAAATTTTATGTGTAGGTATTGTATTTGCTATTGATTGAAATTTTAAAAATTTTAAATGTTTCAAGCAGAAAACGTGGGAACTCTTTCCGGTGCAGTGTTCCTAGTCTGGCAACACTTAATCTAAAAATTTTACAAATCATTAGAAATGTGAAACTATTTGCTTCTAAACGTACGTCGATTTTTAGCTACTACTATTTTTTTAGCAACATAGCCTCTCTGTTGTTTAAGTTTGCCTCTTCAATTAAAATACACTAACTGAGGTCGAAGTTGCTAATGAGTTGTCTGACAGAAATTTAAAGCTGAACTCTACTGTTCCACAAAGGTTAATGAAAATATTTTTTTAACATTGTTTTTTTCTTATAATTTAAAAAAAATTTTTTATTTAAATTTCGTAAATTTTTACAAAAAATAAAATTGCCTTGGCAAGTAAAAGGCTACAAAACCAGTGATAATAATAATTGAATTTTTTATATAATTCAATAGGTAAATAACAAATAAATTTCGCGGGAAATTAAAATTTTCGTAAAGTTTGCCGGCGATTTGTTGGTTTTTTAAATCAACAAATCCCTGACAAACTTCATTTAAAAATTTCCTACGACATCTATTTGTTATTTTTATAAAAGTTATGTCCTACCATACTTTTAAAAACGTTACGATCTGAAAGTGTAAAGATTAATTTAATGAAATATAAAAGTTTTAAAAATGTTTTGAGGAAAATTAATAGTTTTATAAATTTCAAAGTTGTACTTTTCGATATGCAATTAATTTGCCACAACAATTAATTTTCCTAATCAGCTTTTTTTCTATTATCCTTTCAGAATCTTTCATTTATCTTAAATAATCTTTAAGTCACTTAGCGGGATAAAAAAGGATTAAAATTTTGTGAAAAGAAAAGGATTTAAAAAAAAAGCACCTGGCACTTAGGACCTTCATCGTATCCAAGTGCAAAACTCTTTTGTTACTCAAACATGCGCGTGAGGAGGTCTTTTGATTAATGATGATGAGGAAATAATGCTCATCAGAGAGGTCCACTCCAAACTTTTGTTGCATGGATAATTGCGCCAGTGTTTTTCGAGAAGCGATACTAAATTGATATTAATTTTAGGCAACTATGAGATTAAAATCTTGCCCTCATTGTGTAATTAGTATTTTTGACGTGTTTTTGTTTTAAGAATGCACAAGCATATATTTATGTTTTTTTGTTCCGTTTTCTAAAAAACATCGTTATAGTAAAATAAAACTAGGTTATTTCTTAATGGATTTGATATTTTTCTTCATTAGATAGGACTCATCTTTTATTTCTGTTTTCCATCATTTGTATTTAGTTTGAATTTTAAAAAATAAATTTTTTATTTTATATTATAAGCGTCATTGAACAGCCGACCCAATTTTTGGGTTTACGACTACTAATGTTCAAATCCGTAGCATTGTAATTTTGAACGCAATCCAGAAGACAAGGGAACTCCTGGATGAAGTATTGGGAGAAATTTGCCTTCGTGGAGGACTTTTTGATGGAACTAACTCGCATTTGCGTTACATGGAGAGGAAAACCACGAGAACCTCCCAAGGTTAGCCTAACGGCAAGGGGACTCTAACCCATGATCCGTCTACCACTGAGGATATTTCACGTCAGCACTGTGGTCGGTGCAAGCCGGATGCGGAATTCGTATCGACCAGCTATCGCCGGGATCGAGCCCCGGTTCACCTCATTGGAAGGCAAACGCTCTATCCCCTGAGCCATCGCGGCCTTTTCAAAAAAAAAAAAATTTATTTTATATTTTATAACCGTCGTTGAACAGCCGACACAATTTTGGGTTAACGACTACTAATGTTCAACTCCGTAATGTAAGCCTTATAATTTTGAACCAGACAAGGAAACCTCTGGATCTGTACCCCCAGAGGTATGATTTAAAAATAAATTGAAAAAATCTGTATATTTTTACTAAAAATGGGATTTTTTAGTTTCTTACTATTTTAAGGTCTCGCCAACTGTACACCGAGGATATCTTTATTTATTTTTTTTTTTAATGTTTTACTCATTGGTATGTATTCACTGAAATATACAACTTTGTGATTGAATGTTGGTGCAGATAAATTTTGGCTGTCGAAATTTAAGAAAATAGCCTTATTTCGAAGATTTTTCAATGATTTTTGTAATATCTACTGACCTTTTGATAAGATCTACTGAAAGTATTTATGTCTTAATAGTCAGTGTGGAAGTAGTAGAATACAAATAATACAAAATAATAGCCAGTTCAATGGTTTACTCATTTCATTGAAATACTTACTGTATGTAAATAGATATTAAATAAATATATTTTTCTCAAAACTCCAGGGGATCTTCAGATTTGACTTGCCAAACCTTAAGAAAAAAGAAATTTAGAAAAAAAACGTGGTTTTGAATAAACGAACTTTTAATTGTGTACAAAAAATGTTAAGTAATTTAAAAAAATTCTCGAGATACGATGAAATACTCAAAAAATAAAATTAACATTAAGGTTTCCAAACTTCGAACCACTCCTGACCAAACTGCAACCATATTTGCCAGACTATGTCTACCCCTATATTTTGGGGGTCAAAAATTCGAAACCGTTGGAAAAAAAACACGATTATTCAGGGAAAGTACGTTTATGTGTCTGATCTTGCGACTAAAAATATCGTCTGCTTTAGTTAATTAGCATGTTGGAGGTCACCCCCTCAAATCATTAGGATTGAGTCCTAAAACGTGAAGATTCAATCATTAAATCAAAAGCTACCCAGAGTTGCCCGTTCATTTATTTATTAAATTTTTTTCTTCTTTTTTGCGCACTGCATTACATATAATAAATAGGAATTATTATTACTCGGTTATCGTACAATGTACGGCGAACAGGTTAGCATCTATAATATATTAATTTCGTATACTCTTTTTAAATATTGCACCGGTTTAGATAATGCTTTCTTGCAACTATTTTATTAGCATTAATCATTCTTTTTTACAGGTTCATAGACGGAATCTCAATCCCACTTTTAATGAGACATTCGTATTTGGAGTTCCCTATGAACAGCTCAGATCGAGGACGATCCAGTTCTCAGTGTATGATTTCGATCGATTCTCCAGGCACGATCTCATCGGGCAGGTTCTAGTTCGCGGACTTCCTGAGCTCTGCGATATCAACCACGATGTAGAGTACACTATGGACATTTTGGGTGTTCCACAGGTTTGTCTTACTAAATATCTTTGAACCAAGATAACTTAACGAAACTTTTCAGAACTAGGAACAAGAGCAAAATATTATGTCAACTAATTTTTTTTCAATAAATTTGGGTCTGCGTAATTTTTAAAAAAATTCTCTAAAAATTCGATTGTGAAGGTCAGATAATGTGATAAATTACTTTTGACTCAACCTAATAAAAAATTCTCTATATTAGTCAATAAAAATTCTATTTATTATTAAAAGTTCATGGTGGCTACTCCCCCCAGAAACAGAAAAAAAACCTGGAGTTTTTAAAGAGTTTGAGAAAATCCCAGGAGCATTCACTATCAACTCTTGGAAATTTTTAGAGTTTAGATAGCATAATCACGCACTATAATCCCACATTAGTACCTAAAGCAGTATAATCGAACATGATTTCTCCTTATAAAATTTTTTTAGTTATACTATAATTTAATTTTCTCCACAGCGGTGTTATTTTTATTTAAAAAAAATTCTAATAAATTATTTTATTATTTCCACTACCATTTAAATGAGTGTTTCTTATTTTTAAATTAAATTTCGTAAAAAATATATATATATATATTTTTGAAAATCTTTTTTTTTTCTATCTCGAACTTTTAATGAAATTAACAAAGAATTTATTTAATAGGCACTATTTTTATTTATTCAATTATTTGTTTAGATATTTGACTATTTATTATTTTTAATGTCATGAAATTGTTAGGCATTGAAAAATAAACAATAATAAATTTAAAAAATAAACATATTTAATTTTAAAGAAATTTCTGCTTTTATGCATCGATTCTTATTCCATATTTTAAATATACAGTTGCCCCCCCCCCTTTATACGAGAGCAAGGGCACCTCGGATGACAAAAATAGGCACTATTTTTATTTATTCAATTGTTTATGTGTTTATTAATTTATTTATTTTGCTTAATATTTTAAAAATTTTAGGCATTAAAAAGAACAATGATAGATTTAAGAAATAAATATAGCTTTAAAGAAATTTCTGCTTTTGTACTTAGAATCCATATTACATATCCATATTACATATAGTAGAGGTCCTCATGGGACCTCTACTGTACCACGGAATAGGGATGCAAGGACATCTCGGATAATAAAAATAGGCACTATTTTTATTTATTCAATTGTTTATTTATTTTGTTAAGTTATTTATTTTGTTGATTTATTTACTTTGTTTATTTACATATTTATTTACTTTGAACAATTATAGTTTCAAAAAAAGAGCAAATTTTAAAGAAATTTCTGCTTCTATACATAATTCATTCCATAATTCTTAATCCATATCATTTTTAATGTTCTGTAGAGCCCCGGAAACAAGGGTGGCAAGGGCACCTCGGATGACAAAAATCGCAGGTAATCCAAAGAAAAGTAAAATAGTAATTAATGGGAGCAAAAGCATAATTTCAAACATGCGTATATGATTTAAACGTACTACAGAAATCTTTATTCTTTGTGTAAATAGCTGAAACATGGAATGGTAAATAAAAAATACTAGATGCATACTTTATTAAGTGTTTATACATAAAAGTACATAGATCAAGAAGTTAAGAAACACACGTAAATATTTGAAAAAAATCGGTCACATGTTTTTGGTTTAAAAGCATCTTTTCTTATTGTGCTTTCTTTAACATGAGCAATGATCGAACACGAATGAAACTCGCGGATAATCTGTATCTATTGTATTTAAATTTTAACATTGTAGTTAAATTTTAACATTTCGTTAATTGTGTTAACATTAACACAATTAACGTGTTAATTGTGTTAATGTTAACACAATTAACGAAAATCAGAAATTTCTTAAATTTAACTCTGGAAATCTCAGGAAATTTATCAGGAGTGCCTCTCTAAAATGCCAAACCATTTTATAAAAAAAAAACTTTTTTTGTTTTTTAACTAAAGCAATTTCTTTATTGTTATTCTTATTAAATTAAAAAGAATTTCCTTACTGTTATTCCTGACATCAATTTTCTTTTTAAATCCTAACAAAGTTAATTGTTGAGTTATTAAGTAATTCGATTTATTTCTTATCAAATTAAAAAAAGTAAGTTAATTAATTAAAAGAATATCACTTTTTGTTGCTCTTTTTAAATTAAAAAAAAATTCCTTACTGTTAACCTTTCTTAACGTCAATTTTATTTTTAAATTATTTTATTTATTCGAAATTTATGTATTTATTTAGAAAATATTAAAAAAAAGCAATACTCAATTTCTCCCAATATCCAAAGGCACGTAAACCATTTCATTTCAATTTGATGACGTACCATCATAAGAAACTACGTAAGCATTCTTCGTTTGAATTGCAGTTGTGGTTTGAAATGAGGGGAATATTATCATCCAACGGGTGCATGAAATTATTCCAGAGCATGAGAAGGGCTAAGGACGAAGAGGAAAGAGAATTTACATTTATTCCTTTCAAATATATATAAGTATTCAGTTTGGCTGCTTGTCGAGCAAGCTCACTTTCAGAACTTTTCATTGCTTTTTCAAGGATTTAAATATTATCATAAATTCCCCATTGCATTCAGTTACTAGATCAAAAACATGCCTAGTCTTCACACAAGATTATGAGTAGACTTTGGTAATATTTGTCGTTGTTTTTAAACTTAGATGCACTGTTACTTTTTTTTTCTTAATTCATTTTTTAATTAAAAGTATTTCAATTTTTTATTTATTAAAAGTCTTAATTTCATATTACACGGTTAGAATTTTCATTCTAAAATTATGGTAAAATAATCGGAAGCAGTCTTTCCATCCAATTAACCGTTAAGTTTAAGGTGAAGAACATTTTTTTACCTTGATGGTTTTTAAACAGCTTACAACTAGTGTGGTTAAAAAACCCTGAATACAAAACTATACGGTTTTTCAACCATTAAACCATGGTTTAAAATTAACCGTTAAGTTTAAGGTTAAGAACATTTTTGTACCTTGATAGTTTTTAAACAGTGTTAAAAGAACCTGACTACAAAACTGTTATTATTCAACCATTAAACCTGGTTAAAATTAAAACCATGGATACAAAACTATATGGTTTTTCAACCAGTTACAATTAGCATGATTTCAAAAGCGTACTGAAAGAAATTTAACTAAGCATAGGAGATAGCTTAGCAACTTTATAGTGCTGCCATCTATGATTGAATGAGAGTATTTTAATCTAATAGCCTAGAGTCACGAACTGTTGAAGAGACTGGAGGAAGTAATGTCGTTCCAACGCTGGGATTCGAACCCCGGTTCTCGTGCTAATGAGATTGACAGATTAGCTCTCTTGGCCATAATATGTACCCAGCTGCAAGGAAATAGGTGATTTCATTAGGTGGGTCTAGTTGGTTCAATCAAATTCTGATGCTTTAACCATATTATATGAAAGCAGGTAATAAACGGTTTTTCTCACAGTTAACAGTTTGAATACAGTTTATGGTTATATGACTGTTTTGTTTGAATATGGTCAAATAGCAATTAAAAAAATTCTTATTTAAAAAAAAATTTTGAGAAGTTTCTAACACTGTACAAGGGATGTTTTTCTGAAAAAGCAGAAAATGTGGATAGCCATAAGATGAGGCATGAAGTTCTTAAACAGCTTTTATTAAGTACAAAACCATCTCGATACAGCAAAGTAATTAAATAAAATGCAATGTGAAATTAGAAACGTGACATTTTGCATCAGAGAATCAGCTCGGACATAACGGCAACTACTGTCTAACATGCAACAAGTCTAATATGCAAATGCAGGTCTAATATGCAACAAGTTTACTGAGTACATACACATAAAATGACGTCACTCGCCTAACTAGAAGATATACTCGTTGGCGTTGCCCACACACTACCGAAACTTAGTTTTGTAGTTAATACCCTCGGTGGAGTACAGCGATGCCAACTTGCACCAGACAGCAGATAAATATTTTCGTGTTGGTAGTCTTTTTAATGTATGATTCTTGATTCAGTCAATTCCATTTATATGGTTTTTACTGAAAAATTCAAAGGCTTATGTGACACGCCACTTTGTTTTAGTCAAGCCGTGTTTCTCCTTTTGAAATATTGGCAAAATTAACTTAAAATTTGCAGGTTTTAGTTCGTAGTTCTCTACCGTTTTTGAAAATATTTTGCTGAATCCGGACCAGTTTTCATCTCTGGAAGCAAAATATCACTACAACATTTTACTTTTCTAAAATTTAAAAAAATAGCAAGAATTGCAGATTTCTAAAGTTGAAAGAATGACAGGGATTGAAGATTTTTAAAATTTAAAGAATGGCAAGGAGTAATCGAAATGAACTTTTCGTATTGCATTACGATTTAAAAATCTTCGATTATAGTGAAATCAAATTTTGTAAGTTTATTGAAATTTAAAATGATACGGTTAACGTAATGCTGACTCGAAAGTATCTTACCTCCTCACAATATCTTAAGTAATATCGAAATTAAAATTAATTTAATCTTAAATTGTATAATTTTGAAAGAAGTTAAAGATTTCAATATTCGATTATCAGGCCTTAAATATTTCTTTCATTTGCTTATAAGTATTGGTGGTCAAAATCATTTTAAATCAAATTTTGATGGTAAATCTTAAAATATACTAACATTTTAAATATTCAAGGAAGGGCTCCTGTTGTGCTTTTAGCTCTCATAGAAAATTTAAGAACGTCACAAACAAACCTTATGAAAATTGACTTTCGATCGAATCGTTTGAAACTTATTTATTCCATCTCCATCAAAAGACTTCATGGGCAGGAAAACTAAAAAAAAAGGAGTGTCTTCGACATGGAGTTAATATTTTAAATCCTTTTATGCGTACAAAACCTAATTTATCCATATCGTTTTAAATAGCCTTTTATGAACTGTTTATCAAAATACAATTAATTAATACAATTAATGAAATCTCTTACCAACAGAGATATTGATATTTTATACGTATAATATTACCAAAACGTTATCTAAACATGGTCATTTAATAATATGAACGATGGCCAATATAACTCAAGAATA